ATTTTTTTTTGTACAGCGGGCCGCACTATAGGTATTTTTATAATCATTTTTTTATTTTACATTAAAGATACTCCTTATAATTTCATTGTCGTTAATGAGAGTGGGTCTATGATGTTGGCGGGCGGCAGAAAACACATCGGCGGGCCGCGGGTTGAAGACCTTGACAGCAGCAAGTTTAAAAAAACAACTATATGAAAACTCAATATCGGCAACAATTGTAAAGGTTGACATGACAACAACATCGAGCATCGGTGACGTAGAAGTTCGTACCGGGGTTGTAGCCACCCCCACCCGATACGACGCCGAGCACGATATTCAATTCTGATGTACACTGCGGATGACGTCACGGGCGGACATACGGACGGATGTCGCGTGGTGCATCTCACTAGAGTTTTTATCTTACTAATATTATAAACGCAAATGTTTGTGAGTATGAACGTTTGTTACTCTTTCACGCAAAAACTACTCAGCGGATTTTGATGAAACTTTACAGTAATATAGCTTATGCATCAGAAAATACATCTTATATATAAAATTCTCGTGTCACAGTTTTCGTTCCCATACTCCCCGAAATGACTTGACCGATTCTCATGAAATTTTGTGAGCGTATTGAGTAGGTTTGAGAATCGGCCAACATCTATTTTTCATACCCCCTAAATGTTAGGGGTCGTCCACCCCTAAATTTCTTTTTTATTTTAAGGTAAACCAACGTTTGCCGGTACTGCTATTAGACTATATTTTTTATTGAAATTTAACGCGCGGCAAACCGCGGGCACAGCTAGTTATAAATATTCGTGAGTATGGATGGATGAATGGATGTTTGTTACTCTTTCACGCAAAAGCTACTCAACGGTTTTTGATGAAACTTTACAGTAATATATTTTACTAGGCAATCATTTCAACATTATGTAAATTAGACGAAATATAACGATAAATTTCAAGTAATTGTGATGGAGACTATTCGGGTCAACTATTTTGAATCTATTTAAAGCGTATACGCTGTTCAAAAATGTAGGCAGTTGTTTTTTTATATTCCTCCGTTCCCCTACCATGATAGTTACAAAGAGCTCACCCAACAGCGCGCGTACGTTTCTCAAATATAATTGAAATTAGTGTATAAGTTGAGTACATACCGTGGACCACGATACGTACTGAAAAACGCTGAGAAACCTGAGGACCCAGTATTTCCATAGAGCAAATCATTATGCAAGACTTTATACTTTATATGGTAGTACAACCACACATGTAAAAAGGATTTCGAATAAATAATAATAATAAACCGCTGTTTGCCTATGCCTTGTACCAAATCCAGAGTCGAAAACAATCTATACGAAATGCCAATACGTTGTGATATCCCGGCTTGCTCTCATCATATTAAACCGTCCAACCGCCAAATGTCACAAATCACATGCCGTTAAAATGTAACCTTGTTACCATAGCATAGGGTTTATTTTCTTGGGATTTGAGAGAGCCGTAAAGGGAAGTAATATTATATTTCAAGCAAAACAAAGGAGTTTATGTGGACGTAAAAGTGAGACATAACATGTTGACATGCGGTCTGTATATGTATAATTTTTATATATTTTTTGTTATTATTATTATCAATAATTTTAACTTTTGTCATATATTATCAATATTACTATTATGTAAACGCAAAATTATCATCATCTCTGATCACCGTACCAATGTTACTTTGACTAAACTTCCTTTGACTTCCATGATACAGGCATAGCATAGTGTGGAGTCATAGATAAAATTCATAAAGGAAGACTACTGGCCGATGGGTGACTGTACACAACTGTGTACCGCCGCTGGCGTGGTAGATTGCCATAGTGATTGTGGTGACATGCTCATCTTATTATCCTCCACTGGTGCCCCGCCAGCGTAAATCGTTATCGCAGGCGGATGAACCATAGCATTATCATCCATTAAAGAAACATGTCGCTTGGGCTTCGACTTGGGACATTTTTGAAAGCTTGATTGGTCTATAGATAAGGCAGAAAGATTTATAAGGATAAGAGGCATGACATCTTAGTCCTTCGGAATGGTAACGAACGATCAGTATCACGGGTATCACAGGGTAACGCGATCAGGTGCTCTCTCAGGTCTAATTTCATCTTCGAAGGTCGCGGGTTAGATTCGCTGACTAAGCTCTGTGTAAATTCTCCTGGGTTATTATTATTTCAATTATATAAAAAAAAAACAATTAGAATAGAATAGAAAATCATTTATTCAAATATACTTAATTTAAGCACTTTTGAATAGTCAACAATTTTTTTTAAATCTACCGCTTTCTTGGAAAGCTGTCTCATCATAAGAAACTTGTGTGTTCTTGTAAGTTCACATTTACAAGTCGATACGTATGAATGCAAACTACCAACTAGCACTAATTTATTAGGCTCAAATATAAAAACACAATAAGATTAAATCAGTCGTAGTGATAAGACCAGACCAGTTCCTACAAGCAGCACTCGTTCACGAGTATGACAGATGAGATGATATATATATATATATATATATATATATATATTTGTTCCCGCGATTTCACCCGCGTAAAATTTCAATAAAAAATATAGCCTATTCTTATTCTGATGCATAAGCTATATTACTGTAAATTTTCATCAAAATCCTTTCAGTAGTTTTTGCGTGAAACAGTGACAAACATCCATAGTAACAAACTTTCGGGTTTATAATATTATTAAGATTCGCTGAATGTGGCAACCCTGAATGTTGTAGATAAAAATAAAATAGCGATCGCGATAGCCGAGCGCGCCTCAACTTGCCGTGTAACGCGGCCCGCGCACCACTCAAAGAGGTATCGGGTGACACGCGGGGCGGCCGGGGTGCCCGGGGGGGGGCGGGGAAGCGGGGGAGCGGGGGAGAGAACACTCAACGAACAGACTGGACACCCCGTTGAACCTTTCACTATTTTCTTTTTCACGGATGGCAGTGAATTACCATTACTAACAACCGTACCATTACCAAAAAATCATGCGATTTACTGTATTAAGAGTCGTGACTCATTAAGAGAGAAATTCTAGAGGCAAATATTTTCACCCTTGCTTTTCAATATATCAATATCTATATGTACCACACCAATGGACTGGAATTACCTTTAAATAAATTTAAAACATCTGTTAAATTAAATTTATTAAGCAAAGCCTAAATTCACTTAACGATTACTTAAATGAAAAACTCGCATTTCAATAGTTCTTAATGCAATTTACATTTAATGTTAGACATCGACACCTATATTTTTTTTTATAACACAGCGGACAAACGAGCATGCGGCTCACCTGATGGTAATTGATTACCGCCGCCCATAAGCACCCGCAACACCAGGGGAATTGCAAGTGCGTTGTCGGCCTTTTAAAAAGGAATAAGTTCTTTTCTTGAAGGTTTCAATATCGTATCGGTTCGGAAATACCATTGCTGGAAGGTGATTCCACAATGTGGTTGTGCGTGGTAAAAAGTTTCTAGAAAACCGCACTGTGGAAGACCGCCATTCATCCAGATGATCAGGATGGTATTTCGGTTTCTGGCGGGTGGTACGGTGGTGACTATATAAGTACACAGTGTAAATAAAGGGATAAATATTCAGTTGAGTTTCTTGTCAGTTTTTCTCAATTGAATCTATATACTGAACTTGACCGTAGAGAAATATATTAAAACAAAAACATGACGTTTATAAACGGCTAGAATGTCCACGAATAAAATATTTTTTATTTTAAAGAGTTATATTTTTTATTGTACCACTAATTCTGAAAGTAGACTCATTACAAAAACAATCAACCAAAAGTTACGTGTTGCTCTTTTAAATAAATCTTGTTCAAAATCACATTTTTAATATTTTTTAGAGAATACAAACTGCCAAATAGCAAAGTTAAAAGCTCTTAGGTTAAAATAACAATCGCGCTAAAGAATATAGCCCGTCTGCGACATTAGAAACTCTTTGTTCGTACGACGAGGGTGGCACTTAGCATCCACAGGTGGTTACCACCTCCCACCTACAGCACGGTCGCAGTTCATAATGGGATCTGTAGCTTCGCGCCAGCCGTATAAATGAATTCTCATTGTTTAGTATTGAAAGCAGGCGGAATTCGAGAGCAACGATAATAGGTCGAGCTTCCTTCATACTAGTGAAATTATAATATTGTATATTGAAAGAATATTTATTTTTAAACTTTCGTGTTTAATATTTTATGTAATACGAACAATTTTATGGTAAACAAAAGTATTTACCGCTCTCGACATTTGAACTAGGTTTTATATTGATTATTTTAAAATCGCCGATGTAATAGCTATACTAGAAATTAAGAAATCTTTGAAAGTAGCAATTTCTATTTCATATATTCACTTAGATCGCAAGAATATTGGACCTACACACTCTTTTGTAACAACCTGAATATTACTAGCAGTCCTGGTCCTGTGCGCACTTCGATAGGCGCTCAGCTATCGCCGAGAGTAGACAATTATTAAAGTACTAAATATACATATACGAATACATTAAATTACAAAATTAAATCTTAAGGGCTACCTTATCACTTCAGAAAATGGAAAATAGTTCGCATCCTATTCTCAGACTTACTAATTCTACCCATAAAATTAATAAGAATTAAGCACTGTGACTTGAGAATATTATATACTAGCGAACCGCCCCGCGCCCCGGCATCGGACAAATTTCTAGGCTTCTTATATACAATATCACACATGTATTATATATATACCCCTTCCTCTTGACTCACTATCGTTTGCTGAAAACTGCATTAAAATCCGTTACGTAATTTAAGACATCAGCGAAAAGCCAGCGGCGGCGACTTTATACTATGTAAGGACTTGCACGTCGTAGCATATTTCAGTAATATGCTACGACGTGCAAGTTTCAAGCCATAATACACCCGTATATCTACGTAAGAAAACCAATTTAGTACTACTATTGTGGAATCGATGGTATTAGAATATATATATATATATATATTCACAATGAGGGTACCACTAACCTTGATCTGACTTGTCGATCTTGGCGGGCGTCAGTCTTCTGTCTGCGAGCGCGGCGCTCGGTTGCTTTGGACTGTTCCTCTTGGAAGAACTCCGCGACATCACCAGCGACTGTGGTATCTGGAACCGTCCATTATTTGTTAGAAAGGCCGCCAGTTTGTTCATTCGCAGTTGACATTTTATATTCCAATAAATAAAAACAACTGTTAATTTTAACAACTAACAGAGATTGAGTTTAAATCAAGTGGTATGTGTGAGTAAATCTTCATTGCCCATTTAAATAGACAGATAAAAAAAATATGGCGTTAAAAGGAACAAACAAGGTAAAGAAAAATATGCAAATTAAATACTATAGTATGAATAACATAGTGTATGTACACTGGCCATGCACAAAAAAGGAAGCACCTCAGTATATTGTTACCTCGTGCGGCAAACCACTGATTTTTCGATATTGTCAGTTAAGTAGCAAAGCAGCTTGTAAGTTGTGTTTGTTGGAAGGAATCTCATGATAGTGAAATTATAGGATATGAAGGCATAACGCTTTAGTCCTACGGAACGGTAAGGCATGAGTATGTATCACCGGTGTCACATGACGTAGTGTCAGCGCTATTTATGTATATTTATATCTATTTCTATAATTCGGATACTCACGATCCATTTTATTATTAAACTTCTATAAAAACATTGTTATTATTAACAAATTCTTCAATTATATAGTAAGCTTTTTTGCAAAGGAAGTGTTTATATGATATTTAAATCTTTTTTCTGGCAGATTTATAAAAGACTGGTATTTAGTTGTAAAACCTTACGCAATTCCCATAAAACTAATTACTAACTTTAGCCAAACGACATTTAGGTAAAATAATAGTAGTATGTATAATGATGACGACGTAGGACAGTGCGTGGTGGCTTGTGACATTGCATGACGGCATGCGACAGTAGGTGAAGACTGTGTGGGGCGGTGTGGGGCGGTGTGGGGCGGTGTGGGGCGGCGCGGGGCGGCGCGGGGTGCGTACCAGCTTGTCGGAGCGGTCTCCGGAGGGCAGCCTGGCGATGGTGACGTCGGCGCTGTCCTCGGGCGGCGGCGGCTGCTGCAGCCAGTTGTACTCTCGCTTCTCCACCGGCACGCCGCGCCGCTCGTAGTCCTGCGCCTGCGTCCTGCATTACAAACGTCTCATTCACATCCCACTACACTACGATCCTGATGTTAACCACTGTCTTCGTTCCGGCCGATTCATCACGATTGACTATTTGCCTTGACTTCGTGCTAATCCTATCATTATCCGCCGGGAACCTGCCATCGTGTACCGTCAGCACGATAGGGGTACTATTCTACTTTCGACAAGTAAAATATTACAGACTTTTGACCGGGTTACTACCGCGGTATCTCAGAGTACAAAAGTCTGCTTTAGCACCTTAGTGTCGCCTATTTTAGCTACCGAACGACGTACTTTGTAAATGTAAATTGTGTTTCAGTTGAAGGATGATAAATCACAATGAAAAAGCATACACCTAAGTATTCTGATAAAGTGTGCCATAGACGTCATGTGACGATAGCCATTTACCATCAGGTCAGCCGTAAAGTGTTATCATTGTAATTAGATAAAAGAAGTATTAATAATGTTCACTCACCTTAAACTTTCATAACAATCTAAACATACTACGGCATATTCGCTATTTTCTAATAATAATGAATTTTCAGTCCGCCTTTGCATTAAAAATGGGAATTCCTGAAACAAAATATACAATAATTAGTGCATAAGAAAGTTGAGGTCAAATTAATAATTAAAATTCAGAATTTAATGCGTTGGATAGACACTACAGTGTCTTTTAAACGAAAATAACTGTTAACTTTATGAAATGCATAAAATATTGAATTAAAACTAGCTGGCCGCCCCGTCATCAGACGACTAGTGCAGCATATATGCAACATTGGAAGCTACATCAAACAAGAAAAAATAGAGTAAAGTTGTTGAAAAATTTTCTAAATTTATTTTCTCATTCAGTTTTCAAAAAAAGTGTCCCTTTCAGATGCAAAAACACTTTCAGTGTACCCAAAACACGGGTATTTCTATGGTGGGTGGGTTGCCATAAATGTAGTGTAGGTTTTAAATATGTTGACCACACCTATAGTATTTGACTGTTAGTTTGTTGATGCCGCACAAGTGACAGTGGTAGTGGTGTTGTACGTGTTCAATGGTAGTGGTGCGTGTTGTACGTGTTCAGTGCTAGTGGTGCGAATTGTACGTGTTCAGTGCTAGTGGTGCGTGTTGTACGTTACCTTCATGTGCAGCGCCCGCACCCGCTTCCTGTAGGTCTTGATGCCGCACAAGTGGCAGTGGTAGTCGTGCGTGTTGTACGTTCGCCGCTCGGGCCCGCAGCCTCCGCTCGCTTCGTACCTGCACAACCACACTTATATCATACCGGCCTCCTTCGGAGCTGCGTATCCAGGTGCACAATACACAGCTCCACAGATAGGTGTCTACTTTATAACTAACGAAAGCATCTACTACACGACTCGTAGAAATACTCAACGTATTTATTTACTACCTGAACATAACTTTGTTTACATGAGATTTCCCCCGTTTTTGGTACATTTCTCATTATTAGTCGTAGTATGACGTTACATAGTCTATTGCTTCCCTCGACAAATGAACATTAATGGAATTTTAAAAATTGGTTCCGTAGAACTATAGATTTCTCCCTCCAAACTTGTGTCATGTTCAAATCACAACCGAAAAACCAAATAAGTAACCCACTAGACCAGACAGTACAGTATATTGTTGTACTTATGATTATATATCACACAATTTACATAATATATTTTTCAATTATAGCCTATGTGTTATTCTGATGTATAAGCTATGTTACCATAAAAATTCATCAAAATACATTCACTAGTTTTAGCGTGAAAGAATAACAAAACATCCATCCGTACTCACAACAAACCTTCACATTTATGACATTAGTAACATATATTATTAATTAAAAATTGTCAATACTTACCGCCTCCATTGGCTCAGCAACGAATGGTAACAAAATGTACAGACTAGTGCGGAGCCGTTCTCACGCAACTGCTCCGCGTTTGGGTGACTCTGTAACAAATTAAAAACATAAATAAATAAACATATACATCTACCACAGCGCAATCTAACAATCTAATGCCAAACTAACCAGCAACAGCTTTATAATAAGGAATACAATGAATCTTTACACACATAGACATACTATCAATACAGTATTGAATAGTCATATTTTTCTATTCTACTACTCATTTGGAAAATAGATCCATCACAAGAAACCTGCGTGTTGTTCTTTTAAATAAATGTTATCTAAATACAAACTACCAAATAGTAAAATTCACGAAACTAAATATATAAAAATTTAATCTAATTTATGTAAACAAATTGAAGGATGCCGAATGTTGACAGAAATATTACAAGTCTAGGCACAAGTGGTATCACGAGTGTCACATGATATTGTGATGTTCGTAGAGCTGTTCATGTATATAGGCGACGGTTACCATTTACCATCAGATGGGTAGTCAACTTCCTTTCTATTTCTTACATAAAACACCTGTTATTTCTGTGATGTTCAGCTTGTAACACATTTTGATAATAGAAATGTGATGTTCGCACTTTTGAAGTCATAGCTGTTCATGTATATAGGCGTATAACGGCATTAACCATTTACACTCATTATTAATGTAATCAGATAATATCAGATGGGTTAAGTCAACTTTTTTGCAAAGGAAGTGTTTTATTTGACATTTTCTTTTTCTTATAACAGACTCTGGTATTTTATTGTAAAACACCTGTTATTTCTGTGATGTTCAGCTTGTTTTCCATCCCAATAACATAAAAAAACACATATTATTTTAGTGATAATGTATTACCAGCAGGTAAATTGTGAGTTCTGTCGCCAATGAAGACAATGAAGAGATACCATCATACAAGCCACGACCAGTCTGTCAAGAGTGAACGACTAAAGAAAATGTGTTACCTGATGCGTGAGTAGACAGGGGAAGTAGGGCGCGTTCCCTTGCGGCTGCCCGTACAGGATCCGCGCCAGCGTGAGGTCCGAGTGGAGACCGCACAGGAAACAGTATATTGATGTACACGCTGCAATACACAACCAAACACACACACACATTAATATATAAAAGTAGCTCGTACAGAAATAACCACATTCTAATATTAAAAATACATCCTAATATTTATACTTCACATCCTCAGTGTAGAAGGATGTTTAGCACACCGTCTTACTTCCTAAGGCCATGGGTTCAATTCCTCACACGATACAAATATTTCTATTCATTAGTATGATAGTTTGTTTCGGTCTGAGTTACTAATACATTTATTACTAATGTATTTAATATATATTTAAATATATATATGTCCAGTACCCATAACTCTGTTCAAGCTCTGCTTAGCTTCTGACTAGATGGCGTTGTGTGAATTGTCCTGAGATATTATTATTATATCCAACGCTCAAAAATCTCTAAATTAGAATTAGACCAGCGTATATATGGTATATGGTAAGTGGGGATGGTATAATTTCAAATGTTACTCACCACTATTGCTAGCAACAGTTCTATCGGAGGTGGTTGACGGTGGTGTGGGTATGACTCGGTCGCCGTTCATCGACGAATTCGACGGTAACGGTGATGGTATATTATATCTGTAAATGACAACTTATTGGTTAAATTAACAAATATTATCTACTCCTTGATTCGAGCAAATCAATCTGTATTACATTTAGACGGTCTCGGTAGTATAGTGGTTTGGCACGCCGCAACCTATGGTCGTGGCTTCGATTCTTCGCTCAGTACAACATTTGTATTTATGAGTTTTATATTGGTCTAGGTGTTTTGTAGATATACTATGCATGTATGTACAAAAAAAGTAGGCCCTCATACGTATACCATTTTTAACGGGATAGTCGTTTGAAGACTGATTCTTAGACTAGCTGACACGGCAAATTTGTCTGCATTGTACTTACTTCACATTTATCATTGCATTTCGTTCAATTTACATATCTTTTTAAATGATAGTTGATGCGTATATAATTTTAAAGTATTATCAAAATCCATTTAGTATTTTTAGAGACAAAGAGTAACAAACATTCTTCCATCCACGTTTACAAATTTCTTTGTTGATAAAATATACTACGCTTACAACTCGTCCGTTTCATTCGAAAGCCGGTGGTATAATGTTTTCGACCGACTCACTGTACATAGTCCATTTCGTGCCAATCAAAATATCTTTATTCATGGTCTATTACAGACTCTTATGATATCTCAAACCTACCGTCAGCTCGGAGCGCTCCAGTGCTCCCGAGCTGACAAGAAACTCATATCTCATTGTAGAGCAGTCTCGCGTGGCTGTAAGTGACAACATGTATAATGTTCACCTGCGGTGTTCTAGCGGCACTCTCTCTGCGTCCATCATCTCCCACTGCCGCGTGAGGTGTCGCACGCAGCGCGAGCACGCCAGCACGCGCCCACCCCGCCCCCCGCCCGGCCCCGCCCCGCCCGCCGCGCCGCCCCCCGCCCCGCCGCCGCCCGCCCCGCCCCCGCCGCCGCCCCCGCCGCCGCCCGCCCCCGCGCCCGCCAGGCACGGGAAGTGCATCGCGTGCGAGTTCATGTAGTCCGCCGTCGTCGACAACCACTCCATCGACTGCTGCGGGAACAGGCCCGCGCACACGTAGCACCTGGTATATAACAAACGCAAATGACTAAATACAAATCCCTGCGGTGGAGCGGTTCGTCCGGGTGGCGTATACGATTTTCTCGCGAGCGATCCGCGGGAACGTAACCCCACCACGTGACTTCGGCCCGCTCCACGTGCGCCCACCGGACGCGACCCACGTGCTCCTACGCGATCCACTCGCCGACGACTTTACCACCCACCCTCATCCAAATACTCCTTCAGCATGCTACATAATAGACTGTAACCGGCCTCAACAAATAAGACGAAAATGAACGACGCTGGGGTGATTCACCCCAGCGGCGCCCGGGCAATATGTCATAGTCGAAACCCGTACCCGGGGACTGTAAGGGCCTGCGAAGAACCACAATCGATCAAATATAATCGACTCTATTCTGGACAATCATTTGACATAATTGCCCACAAGTACCTTTCACCATTGCTAGTGCTAGTGCTATGTGCATGGGATTTTTCAAGAAAGATTTCTTAAGAATTGAGAAATCTTTCTTGAATGAGCACGGTAAGCTACAGAAACCCTTTACTAAATAATAGGATGCTTGTTTGCCGTCAACGTAATATTAAAAAACTCTTATCCATAGTTAATCCATCACATGCATTGAAAACGCAACCATACATTCCTACCAATAGGGTCACTATTCGCCTACTATCTAACATCTTCCTACAGCAGATATTGCTACTCCACTCACCTATATAGACCCATGCCATTCTCGCCGGAGACGATCTGACCCTGGGGACTGGCGGCGAGGGTGTTCGGCGGCCGCTTGCCCGATTGACTTGAACTAGACTTCATATCGTACGGTTTAAACCTGCAAATCACCCGGCTCATATACCAGAGGTAAAAGAAAAGAAAATTAAAAATGAAATATTTACACAAAATTATTATAAAAAGAATAAAACAATTAAATAAATATAATGCGAAAAGAAAAAATATATAATGAAATAGACTGATGATCGCTTTGGCAGAGATTTTACTTTCTGTATATGCTGGTGGTCACAACATTCCCTAATTGAATTTAATAATTAATAATTTATATCGCCTAAGGATCGACTAGCAGGATCAGTAATTATATCAAAAATGAACAAGCTGCATATATATTTAAAATAAATAGTATATAACATACTTAGGACTATAGCAAAAGAGGAAATAAAAGAGGTATGTATACAAAAGATAATTTGGCTAAGAAATACTCACCTAATATTGTTTGAATGTGAGTTGTTATGCGCCGGATTAGGTTCGCCATTCTCCCCAAAAGCCGGATACTTTAGGGGAATGGTCTTATAACACGACGCGCAAATTTGAACCATACCTGCGCACACAAAAGGGTTAATTCACACCTTAAAATAAAATTATAGTACCATTAATAAAACCTCGTCAGTCAATAAAATTTTAAAATACTTTTTTCTTATAATAAATGTATTAAAAACATTTCTATGTATATTATATATGTACAAAAAAAAACGATATGTACTTGTTTATCTAGTACCCGTAACACAACTTTAGATAGCTTAACTCGGGTCTAAACTTTATTGACAAACAAATTGAGATTTCTATAAATAACTATAACTCTGGACAATTCTCAGAACTTCTTATTTGATACGCTCTCGACAAAATGGTCGTGATCATTATATGGAGTGAGACGCAGCTGTTATCCACTTTACCACAGCACGTCATTCATTCCTACTGGCCTAGTGATGGTAAGTGGTAACTGCGCATTCCACTACAGTTTTTTTATAGCACAGAGGACAAACTCGCTCGCGGCTCATCTCACGGTGACACCAGATGAACTGTGTGGTGGTAAGTAGTAACAGCGAATTCCATTCATAATTTTTCCAGCACAGGGGACAAACTCGCTCGCGGCTCAACTGATCGTAACCACCTGGTGAGCTGCAAACGAATCGTCGTCGTCACATCGCACTCACCCTGCGGACTGATGGGACTCGCGTCCGGATGCGCCTTGAGCGTGGTGATGAACGGGTAGTAGGGCTCCCGCTCGGGGTTGGCGCAGCAGTAGACGAGCCGCAGCTGCGAGCTGGGCGCGGGCACGCCGCACACGTAGCACACGAAGCTGGCGGTGGCGGGCGCGGCGGCGGGCGCGGGCGGCGGCCCGGGCTGGCTGGCGGGCCGCTCCAGCGAGGGCGAGTGCGTGTGCGCCGCCAGCGACTTGTCCCCCGAGCTGGCCAGGCTCAGCGGCGACGGCGGCAGCAGCGACGGCGGCCGCGTGCGCAGGCTGTACACGCGCTCGTTGGGCGCCACGTTGCGAGACTGTTCAACGTACATCGGACATTACAAACTAGTGGTCGCCACACTTAATAATTACCACCGCCCATACTTAAGTTAACATTCAGTAAGACTGTATACAAATAATATTAAAGACGAACAATATTAATTTATTCTCAATTTGACCACTGACTTTAACTATAAACAAATGAGTATATATGCCATGTCAAATACATGGTTAGTGTGTTTTCTTTCAGATTTAAAACATTTTTAGGCATAATTTGAAATATATATATTCGTATTCTGCACTCTTTCTCTATATAAACTATAAGAGTACGAGATCTCATACTCCTCCGTTGCATACTCAACGTATACCACTTGCATATGGGTTACTACTGGCACATCTCACGCTACAAACAAAACACAGGCTACAAATAAGCTGCTTTGCAAATTGCTGATTTCGGTTGTTACCGAAATCAGCAATTTTCATTTGCCAAAGGATGCCTACGCAGATGATTTCTACAAACTTTACCACTGGTAAATAAATTGTCAATATAAATAAAGAAGTGTTTCTTTATAATTTCCAATTAACAACTTTTCAGTAAACGCATATGAAAGTATACATGGCATTTCCATTAAAAAACTCAAGTAAAAATATAATCTGTCTCTGTTTGTTCTTGCTAAACTCCATACAGCTGGACCTATTTCGATGGGACTTTCACTGGCAGACAGCTAATATTATAAAGTGTAACTTAAGATACGTTGATATTTTTAAAAAAATCTGATTCCACGCTAACAGGTGCAGATAACAACTTATACATAATATATGCAAATACGAATTTCATTCTACAATGGTCACAAGAAATACAATAACGAAGCATTCCAGTGAATAAAACTAATTAAATGGCAAACACAATCACAGCTTACTATCAATGAAAATGAGATAAGATTACACTATCTGGTACACCCACCGTTCTTGTTCCATTGATCATGAGAGATTCCACATGTAGGTATGTATATAATGTCATGGCTTACTAATATGTGCCAACTATCTGTGCCCGCGGATTCACTCGTATGAAATTTATAGCCTATATGTTATTCTAATGTATAAGCTATATTACTGTAAAGTTTCATGAAAATCCTTTCAGTAGTTTTTACGTGTAAGCGTAACAAACATCCGTCCATCCATACTCACGAACTTTAGCGTTTATAATATTAATAAGATACGGAAATTGGCAAGGTTATTATGTTAGTGTTCTCCTTTAAATATTATCTATATATATATATATACTAATAATGTAAAACTGAAGAGCTATTTGTTTGTTTGAACGCGCTAATCTCAGGAACTACTGGTTCGAATTTAAAAATATTTATTGTGTTGGCTAGTCCATTTGTCGAGGAAGGCTTTAAGCTATTAACATTACGCTACGACCAAAAGGAGCCGAGCTGCAATGGAAAAAAAATTGCAAAAGGTGGGGAAATGAAACGCAGACGAAGTTACGCGGGTTAGCTATAGGGAATGCAATCCCGATCCCGCGGGATCCCGATCTCGCGAGATCTCGTGTAATTTTTCGGGATCAATCCCGACGCATCCTATGACGAGATCCCGTTCGAGATTGACGGGATTGTTTGTTTATTAAGTAAGATTTGAATTTACGTGCTGCACAAACTAATAAATCGCTTCAAGAGGAATTAGAAGAAACTCTGCGAGCTTCTAAAAGTCCTTTTGCACGTATATCCACGTCCACGAGCTTAGACAAATTAGAATCTATTTTAAAAAAGAAATGGATTTGTTTGAGTGTGGATCTCAAACAAAATATATATAATTGCTTCGCCACGCTGTTGCCAACCAGCGTTGAGTTGGAGAGGGCATTCTCAACAGCTGGGTACATTGCAACGGACATTAGATGCGTTTAGCAGATGAAACTATTAATACCCTTTGTTTTTTAAGGAGTCATTTTCAATCACTCTTTTCCTAATTCCCTTGAAATAAGCTTATTGTTTTGATTATATATATAATTTCCTTACAACCTGATTATTATTTAGTTGGTAAGATTAAAGAATAAAGGTTTTTATTTTCTTTCGAGTAATATTTTAGTTAACCTCACTATCACAAACAAGCAGTTATTAGCTTTTTCAGTCATCTGAATTCAACATTTTTTTTAAATTTAGACGGGATCCCGAAAATTCCGGGATCCCGCGGGATTGATATTTCTAATCCCGCGGGATCCCGAATTTGCAATCTCGAGTCGGGATTGCATTCCCTAGTTAGCTAATCTAAATATATATAACTCAAAGGTGACTGACATAGTGATCTATCAACGCACAGCCCAAACCACTGGACGGATCGGGCTCAAATTTGGCATGCAGGTAGATGTTATGACGTAGGCATCCGCTAAGAAAGGATTTTAGTTAATTCTACTCCTTAGGAGATATAATAGGGGATGAAAGTTTGTATGAAAGTTTGTCAATTTTAAACCGATCGGGCTGAAACTTTGCATACATTAATAAAGCTACTATGACGTAGGCATCCCCTAAGAAAGGGTCTTGATAAATTCCACCCCTAAGGGTATAAAAGTTTGTATGAAAGTACTGTAAAGCCGGAAAACTATACTTAATAATAATACTTCTTAACGCGAGCGAAGCCGCGGGCAAAAGCTCGTCATATAATTGTTTAGTGTCTTAATTTATCGAGGATGGACATATATCAAGCTACGACCAACAGGATCGGGCCAGTTCCTAAGTAATAAATAGTTGCTACTTTGAATAATATTCCATACAATCAATAATCTTCTTTATATAAAGTCTGTTAACAAACTGTTGTTGTGTTTGTTTGACGACCTCGGTGGTATAGCGGTGTAGCACATCGCTTTACGACCGATGGTCGCGGGTTCGATTCCTCGCACGGCACAAACATTTGTATTCATGAGTATGATTGTTTGTATCGGTCTGGGTGTTTTCTATCTATGTATATGTATCAGTTATCTAGTACCCATAACACAAGCTCTAGCTAGCTTAACTTGGGTCTAGATGGCTCTGTGTGAATTGTCCTGAGATTATTATTATTATTATTACTATTATTATTAAACATCGGACGTCACGGGGCGCCCCGCATTACTTATACTATATACATTTCACTATCTACATACATTGTATGTTATACGCTATATTATATGATACACAGTGACAAATAAATACACATTAAGCATGATAACATTTATCTACAGTTTTATGATTATTCCAAATTGTTTTATTGATGCTCGTAGCAATAACAATAGTAATTGTTCTCGGAGCGTTCCTCTGGCTGTCTGTTTTATCGTTGTAGATAAACGGAGATTACTTCCGTTTTCACATTACCTGATTGTCGAACGCAATAGTGGAATTATAGTTTCCGTATCGACGAGTTACAGCCCGAAAAGAATCGGTTTCAGTATTACACTACCCGATGACTAATTTATGTTTGGATTTAGGTACCACAATAAAACAAAAAAAATTGAAATACCAAACAATCTGATGTTCCACCTTTGTAAGTGGTAACGGACATCACGTTACCATGTGACGACCGTGGGTTACCATCCATACGTTACCATCCTATAGAACTAATATACCATGCTTTTGTACCCTGTAATTTCACGGCCTGCAAATCTTGCCTCTTTGCGAAATTAGCTTTAATTACAGAATTATTAAAATGTAAATAATAATAATAGTCCTGGACAATTTACACAGCGCCATCTATTCCCAAGCTAAGCAGAACTGGTGTTATGAGTACTAGACAACGAATATAATAACTTACACCAAATACAAATAACCATACTGACGAATACATTTTGTACTGAGGAATCGAACCGGCGAATCCACCTAAAGTAAAGCGGTGTGCTAAACCACTAGACCACCGAGGCTATCAAACGTATGGAACTCGAAGGAATTGCCATTCCATTCGTTTCTAATTTAAATTATAGAGCAATTAGAAAGAATAGAGTTCGAATTCTGTATCCGCTGTGAACACAAACATCATTGGTGTAGACTCATAATATAATAATGTTGTCAAGTTTTAATTATGTATGTCCTTATCATATCAACATCTTAACAGCTTAGCGGATTTTAATAATTAACGATACCTTCGTTAGATTGATAGTGACTAATGTACTGTAAATAATTAATTATAATGACACACCAAGCGTCATTTAGAATAGTAGAGACGCAAAATTAGTTAAAATAGAAACAATATAAAACATACATATAATTAAAATTAATAATATTCCACGCAGATGACAATTTTAAGCCTTTTCGTGTATTAAACAAGAAAGTTTAAAAAGGTTCCATGCAGACAATTTTAAGTACCAAAAACAGATTTTCACTAAATGCCTATAAAAGAACATATACACGGTACGGTACTTGATGTAAGTATCGTATATATGTTCTTTATAAGGGCATTAATTTAAAAAAGGTCTTTCTATCTGTTTATGCTTGTTATCTCTGAAACGGTTGAACCGATGTTGACGGGAATTTGTTCCGCTGATATCTAATGTTATATGGAGGTAAGTTAGGCTACGCTTATTGATTTTATTACAAAAAATAAAAAACGAAGTAGCGGGTAATAGGTAGATTGTAAAATAAAACCGAACTGATCCGACTTCTAAACCAAAATTATAAATGTAACTCTGAGTTTGTTATATTTATATTGCCCTAACAACTAAGTCAATACACGTAGAAATTGGTGTACTTAGCATTTGGTATTGAGGAGGAAATGACGCAGCAAAAAATGAGCGGTCAATGACATAATGATAACGAATGGATTAACGGCTGATTGCTCTAAGTCAAGATCCTCATACTACGAGATATAACTATATATCAGAAGGTTGTCATCATTCCCAAGCGTAGTTTTTCACTGCTTCAGTCCCATTTGAGCTAAATCGAACGGCAATATAAGGGTGCGATCATGACCATTACGACTTAGGTCATAATCTCACACTGCTGCTTCGGAGATAGACAATCTCTTTGACATTTGTCTAGTATTCTATCTGTTATCCGCTCTTAATTTCATA